ATTGTTTACCTTTATGGCTCTTACTTTATATCTGGCTGTTTGCTGTTTAATTAGACTGTTTATTCATTGAATATAATTTCAGAGATAGTCTCACTTGGGATTATACAAAGCCAACACTTCTGGCTTAACTCAGAACAGGTAACGATGCACTTAAAAATATATATAGTAAGTTTAGCATAATGAGTCATAGAATAATTTAACACGAAGTAAGGCTTTGACTCGTAGAAACTGGCGGAACTAAGCATAGTGGCTAGAAGAACTCAACGCCACAGCACTCTAGTCTCCAGTAATTCAAAACAGCAACGTGGCCTTCAAGCAGGCATAACACGCTCTCTTTAACTAACTGAAATTCACCTTCCAAATCCTTTCCTTGGCCCACCAGCGGCCAAACGTCTCTGAACACTGGTAGTTAGGGTAGAGGTTTGAAAGGGCTGGCTGCATGGGCGTTTTGTGTTTCCGAACCAAATTATTCATGGCTCAAAACTTGATGAATGTAGTGAGTAACTTCATTTGAGATAAAATTGTATCACGTGAATGCAAATTGAAAACATTAGTATAAATGAAAACAGCAAAACCTGTAACATGAAGCAAAAATGTAATCATATGTGTTAGCGAAATTGCTGAAGCGAATTTCTCAGAGTCAAATTCCTGTTTTGATTTTAATGGGAGGTGGTATCTCTCTCAACTCAAACATGCATACTAGAACACGAATTCATGCTTTCGACAAAGTGGTTAATTAATCTTTGAAGGATTCACTTCAATTCTTCCATCATTAATGTCTTCAAGATGGATAATTTTCCATGCAGATCTCTCTTACGGACTGGCCAATTTATTCCCCAAATAGCCTCTCTTTAACCCTTTGCGGCACAGTGTGTCCGCTCTTGACACACCTAAAAATTTCCTTCCGTACGGACAGAAAAATTGAATGTAAAAGGATTAATAGGTTACTGTAGGTTACTCTGAACCTTCTTTATTTATTGTAGATGGCAGCTCAACACAAATCAGTCCATATAATTTAGACATATTTAGTTTTTTACCCTCATTTCTCAAAGAAATCTTCCAGATATTTTTAAGTAAAAAATTTTGAAACGAAATTTCTATGTTTTTTTTGGCTGTATGCTAATCTCGCTATTCTATATTAGTTTTAAATTTTTACCTTGAAATCTCGCCTAAAATCAGAAAAAAAAATCAAAACTAAAAAAACACCAGGAATCTTCAAGGGAGTGCGCCAGTCGTTCATTCGCCGATGTCAACTGCTCAGCAACACGCGTGGTCTGTATTTGAGCACTTTCTGTGAGATTTTTACCCAACAATAAATCTGATTGCCCAGGTTTTGGTCTTGTTCATTCTTTTTCCCAACACTGTTCTTAAGTTCTGCTCTCGCAGTAAAATGCGACGCTATGTTCTATGCTAATTATTGCGCGTCTAGATGGGTAATATCACTTGTCTTAATTTGTAAAAGCAGTTTAGAATCTTCCTGTATATTGCAGTGGCATATGCTTATATGGAATTTAGATAGAAGGATTAAATACAGAATTTATGAAAACGTTTACACTGCATAAATTTAGGAAGGTATAGTTCAACCGTCTCAAGCGCAACCCTGGTTGGCATTCTGCCAAAACACATAGACTCGTCCAAAAAGGGACGGTGTTACTTGCCGCGACGTGAAAGGTCTTCTCTTCTCCGGGAAAAGCTATGCTGGAGGGAACGAAAGTCCCCATCCTCCCACCCTATTTTGAGAATAATTCGGTCCGAATGGCGCATGCGTGTTTGCGCTCATGGTCGCGGATGAGACGGTCGAACTATAAAATAAATAACAAGGAAAAAAGGAGAAAAAAATTGAAGAAGGAAAATAAAGAAGAGGGGAAAAATTCGGGGAAAAAACTTTTAGTCAAGAAGTAGAAATAATAAGCGTATATTAAAGGTTTTATTAGATACATTTTTAAAATACAAGTGTGTCTTATTGTTTACTACAACTTTTTGTAGTTTTTTGTTTCTTGTTTCGACTTTTAGCGGTGATATTGTTTACGTTTTTAGATATATCTTTTCACCGCTAAAAATTATTTCTGGTATATTCGAGAGTAATTTTTAGTCGCTAATTCTTCAAGGCACACTCTCTTTCGTATAATTCAATGAAATGCTATTTTTGCTGCTGATTGAAAAGATTTTTCAGAAAACTATAATTAGCAATTCTACAGTAAAATTTTATTAATTCTAACTTATCGTATACATCTAATAATATGTTTTATCCTCATGCAGTACCTGTCTATTATATTTACTAAATCTCAAGAAAAAAAGAGAACACTGACATTTGGATTAAGAAACGATAACGTATAAAAATTCCAATTCATTTACTTATACTTTTAAAAGATGAAAACTAAAAGATTGAATCGATTTTGTAAAAACAAAATTTTCCCATTATGCACCGAATTGTGAAGCGCAACGACTAATTAAGCAGCGTACGTTTGAGCAAATAATCCTAAAATGGTGTTCAAGGTAAAGAAACTTCAAACGAAGAAATCGCTGAATAATATCAGAAAAGATATGCGAACATTCCATGCAAAGAGAACACAAGTGAAATCTTTATATTAGGGTAAAGAGCATGTATTTAATTCAGATGGTAATTAATGTAATGAAGTAAGCCCTAAAAGATAATGAGATTAAAAGAAAGCAGAGCCCTTTTGCTAATGATCAAACCAAGAACGCTAATAAATACGTTATTGCTAATGAATGGACTTTTAAAGTAAATGCATTTAACTTTGAAACGAAAATGGGTGCAAAAAGAAAAGTTTATTTAAAATAAGATTTGACGAGCCAATTTTCTATTTATTGAATCGAAGAAGGATAATATTTCGGAGTACATGTAGTTTTTAAATTTGATGCATAGAATATATTTCTTTGATCTATAATGCAGTCTGTCTTCCAAGATTAGTAACAGTTTTGAAATCTTTCATCTGCTGTTCTGGCTGTGATTTTCATTGATACTTTTATGCTATTTTTAGTTGTATTTGTGTTATATATCGTCTGAAACGATACTGATTTTAAATACCATTTCAGTTCTACAATAATTCCATGCAGATAAACTAAGGGCATAAAAACCTTAATTGAAACATGCAAACAATGTTATTCAATCACTTCTAAAGCAAACATTGCGCATTTTACCAACGTATAAGAATAAAAATTTGAACTCACAAATCCTGGTAACAGAATGGGTATATATAATACGTAATATATCTACAGTGCTTCCAAAATAATACCTAATATCTCTACAGTGGCTCCCGAACTAAAAGGGTGGTGGATGATGATTTTCCACACCAAGGATTTCACGATTTCGTTCCCTAAAAACATCAGTTGCCCTTTGAGAGGGGGAGTATATAAGGTATTTCTCCCGCCTTCTTGACATGCCTTCGTGGTGTGATGGTCTTCACGCTGGAATATATATATATATATATTATATGTGATGTACCAGCTTTTGTCCGGAATATATAGATTAGTGAAGAAATATAGATGTAGCCGCAGCTTAAATTATCAGATGATAAGTTTAAAAACAGGATCCATTTATTATTGGTCAGGAGAAATAGCAGTTACAAAAATCATGTTTCGGATAAATAAAAATAACTATAACTTGTATGAAGTTTACTGCATCGTTACTTAAAGAAAAGACCCCGATATTCCTTTGATAGTCCTTTATAGCCTCTGGAAAGGCGGAGCTTCCAAGAAATACGTCCAGAATTCCAGTTCGCTTAATATTTCCAGAACATTCTAAACTTACGTGTAGAAAAGGCGGAAAAACAACTTGACTATGGATTTAATTCCCGACTTCTGTGATTTAATCCTCGAAATAAGAGACCATCGCCATTAGAATGAAAAGAAATATATTTAGAATTTTAAATGTTTCTTGATATGAATTTTACTATTACATATATATAAGAAAGTCGGCGGTCTACGAAATGACCGCTGTTCTAGAATTAAATTGTAATAAAATAATTTGTGCAAAGGTGTCGCTATCACGAATAATCTGAATTAGTTTATTTACTGCACAAAATGAATTTTTGCTTAAAATGCAAAGTGATACTTCATCCCACTCTGGCAAGAATACTAAATAAGAAATATTCTCGTGAACAGATTCCGTGGAATAAAGATATAATTACAGTTCTAAACCATATCAAAAACAGATGATTGCCAATGCAAACAAATGTTCAAGTTCCCCCTGACACGCTCAATTTGCCTTCAGCTGAAAACTCAGTTTAAAATACAAAAACAGATTTAATAATTTTAAAGGAAAATGCATTTACTGGCAACACTGCATTTCATACCTAATTTTGGCAACAATAAAAGAAAATTCTGAATTTGGATTTGAAAACCAAATGTATGAGAAACCATTGGATAGTACAGTTACGCAAGCAAACAATAAACTATCGGCGACAAACACTAAGCCGCATATATATAATATATATATATACACCCATTCATACATATATATTCGGCCATATAAAAAGTCTCCGCGGTTTTTTGTTACATTTTTGAGCAAACATTTTATTTCTTGAAACTCAGTTTTAATCAAGTGCAATTTGACTATTATTATTTATGATCTTTAGCCATATTTCGAGTAGCTTCTTAATTCCATCGGTGTAGAAGAACATCTGTGGTTTATCGTCGAAAAACCTGTCCAAATGATTTTCAGTGGCGCTTCGATTTGTTGGCATTGAGAGACTTTTGCAGAGACAGAAACAAATGTTAGTCAGATGGTGCAAAGTCCGGGCTATACGGTGGATGCATCAAAAGTCCACAACCAAGTTCCGTTAATTTGTTCCGAGTCATCAAAAATGTGTATGGCCGCGCATTGTTATGATGGAACACAACCCCTCTTCTGTTGGCCAATTCTGGTCGCTCCCAAGTTTGTGTTTGGTGGGTCCAATCCCACCAAACACTCAACATAACGTTGTTTGGCGACAATGCGGGCTTTGAAGTCGTTTGTGGAGGGTCACCAGCTTTTAACACTATCGCTTGTGTTTGATATTCTCGCATTTCACCCATTTTTCATCGCTTGTAATGATTCGCTTCAAAAATGGTTCGGTTTTGTTGCGTTTCAGCAGTATTTCACTCATGGTAATTCGGTCAATCACATTTCTTTGCGCTAATTCATGTGGCACCCAAATAGCGAGATTCTTTCTGTAGTCTGCTCTTTTCAAATGATCCCAAACTATCATTTGGTTGATGTTATGTGCCTCCGCTATTTCCTGACAGCTTGTGTGCCAGTTTTGCTCCACCAGTAGCAAAATTTCATCGACATTTTCAGTGACTGATCGACCAGAGCGAGTTGCATCTTTGACCAAATTTTTGATCAATTTGACATCGAAATTTCCGGAACGGAATCGAACAAACCACTGCCGGAACCTTCGTTCACTCCCAGCATTTACATCGTACATTTCACAAACTTATCGGCGTATTTTTGCAGCGTTTTCGACTAATCTTTGGAATATGGTAACAGGTAGTTTGGCGACATTTTGGTAAGGCGATAAAGGTTACTAGCTAGAACTTTAGCAATAATCTGAGAAGTACACAGTTCGAATCACAGATTATTTTGTCTCATGAGAATGAGAGATCAGAGACATGTCATGTGACCTTTTCGCGGAAATTCGCGATCGTGATTTTATGACTAACAAGCTCTTAGAAACAATTTCGCATGTCTAAAGTGGGCAGAATCGCTCACTTATTTGTTATGGCGCTTTTTACAATATTAAGATAGAATTGGATTTTTGTCAATCTTCTTTGAGCGTTTTAAGTGAAAAACTAGTCGTAGTATGTACATGTAAACGTTAAAGTGTGTCGCAAATGCGTATTTTTGTGTTCAATTCTGTATGTTTCTTTTTAGTGGAAATAGTTCGACTGTAGCATGATATCACCGTTTAATATGCGAAAAATTTCTTAAAAACGCGGCAAGCAAGTGGGCGATTCTAAGCAGACTTTCCTCCCATTTCGCCACACCTAATATCATTCGTCATGGAATTAAGCATTTTTGTCCATATGTTCTATAAAGCGTAATTTGGTCTAGTCAGATAATTGTTGAAAAATGTTGAGTAAAAAAAAAAATGCCTTTACTTCGTGAAAACAAAATGGCGTCTAAGAAAAAAAACTAGCAGGTTGCTGTAGCAGGGTTGGTCGCCAAAGTTTCGCAAAAAAAGCGCCAAGTTACCATAATCGGAAGATTCACCGCGCGCAACGAATTAGAAAACTATCTTCACAAACTATGGGAGCTGAATATCACCTTTTGAGCACATCTTCGTTTGAGACACTGGTGGCAGAACACCGTGGAGACTTTTTATATGAGCCAATATATATGTAATAAAACTGCGTTATTATTGAAATAAGATGACTTGGTGTGGAAAATTGCAACCGATTGGGGTTGGAGAGGACTGCTATCAGAACTTGACGACTTTGCTGCGTAGTTAGCAAGAGGACACTCGAAAGACACACATAACTTTATTTCTTGGATAATGCAAAATATCTTTGTGGGTGCGCTATGCCCCTCCCACTTTTATACAGCTCATCTTTTAAACTATGGACGAATTTAGAAAAGTAAGCTTTGCGTGGCTAGCGAAACACCGGAAAACGGCCGAAGACACGAGCGAAGAGAAAAAGAGGGAGTTTCAACGTAACTAAGCTTTTATACGAATTCCATTTCAGATCACATCACAGTTTAATGTACAGGTGTTGGGTTCATACCTCATCGATAAGTCCGCAATACATGTTAAGTGACGGATCTCTCTCTTTAGAACATTTAATGCTTTGTTATTTTTAGAATGAAGAAAGAAGTTGAAGAGCTACTAATTTATTACTTAAAAGATAAATATTTTATATTTTACACATTTTTATATGTGATGTACCAGCTTTTTTCCGGAATAAATAGATTGGTGAAGAAATATAGATGTAGTCGTAGCTCTAAATATCAGACGATAAGTCTAAGAAACAGGATCCATTTATTATTATCCAGGAGAAATAGCAGTTACAAAAAAAGATCTCCGGAGTAAATAAAAAGAACTACTAATAACATTTTGTATGAAGGTATTACTAGTCTAGGCATCGGTATCATTTAAATAAAAGATCCCGATATTCCTTTGCGAGTTCCTTTATAGCCTCTGGAAAGCGAACTTCCAAGAATGAGCGTTCAAGCGCATTCCAGTTCGCTTTAAAAAAATTCTTCCAAACATTGCTATAACTTACGTGTAGAAAAGGCGGAAGAAACAACTTGAGGACTACGGGGGCTGTGATTTATTCCATGTACTTCAAATGAAGAGACGCAGTCGGGCCACTAAAATGTAAAAAAACATACAGTTAAATTTTAAGTGTAATTCTTGACTATGGAATTTATTATTTTTATATATTATATATATGTGGTGTGATGTACCCAGCTTAGTCGTAGAAAGCTTAAATTATCAGACGATAGTTAAAATAGAAAAACGAGGATCCATTTATTATTAGAATTTCAGGAGAAATAGTGCAGTTACAAAATCAGATATTCCGGATTAAATAAAGAATTACTAATAGCTTTTTGTATAATTTACTGCAATCGTGACTATTAAGAAAAAGCCCCGATATTCTTTTTCTGAGTCGCTTGTATGTAGGCGTCTTCGGAAGGCGGAGCTCCAAGAAATGGCATCAGCCAATTCATTCGCTTAAAAATATCTCCAGGAATTCTATATCTTATATACTGCACGTGATAAAAAAAAGCGGGAAAAACAACTTGACTATGCTCTGTGGATTTAATTCCACGTACTTTCAAATAAAGAGATCGATTCGCGTCATTTAAAAATGAAAAGAAGATATTAGTATAAGAATTTAAAGTGCATTTTCTTGAGCTATGTGGAATTTATTATTGGTGCAGATAACCTAAATAGAATAATTTATGTTATTGCACCACCAAAAAGGGTGGAGCGCAGATATTACATTGTTATAGCAGTACCGGTCATACACAATTCAACGTTCTGAGGCTTTACTATTTTTTGAATTATGCGTTAGAAACAAAGGCATTCATACATATCGTAAAGTACGTCAGCAAAGTCTGCACTAGAATTCCGTTTTAAATCTATTAACAATCTGTTTGATAAGAGTCCTTCATTCTGTCTTTACGTACGGATGTAACGCAAAAATGTCATTCAAATAGATTTGAGGGAGGTAGCAAAGTTGGCATATTCGTTAAAATATGGTACCCGAAATTTTTCGCAATTATGATACTCTCTTTCCTTAGGACAAGGAAGTAAAAGGACAAAAATATGAATAGCAAACATATGAGGTATTTCACCGGCCTTCTTGGCATGTCTTCGTGGTGAGGTGGTCTGCACGCTCGGCGTGTATTCCTGAGTAACGGGGTTCGATTCCCGGCGAAAGCTTTGCTAATTATTCATCTTGCCTGCTACCAAAATAATACCTAATATCTCTACAGTGGCGCCCGAACTAAAAGGGTGGTCGATGATGATTTTCCACACCCAGGATTTCGCGATATCGTCCCCTAAAAACATCAGTCGTCCTTTGAAAGGGGGAGTATATAAGGTGTTTCTCCCGCCTTCTTGACATGCCTTCGTGGTGTGGTTGTCTGTACGGTGGGCGAGTATTTCAGAGGTCCATGGTTCGATTTCCGGCGAAAGCGTTGCTAATTTTTCATCTCTCGTGCTTTTACAAATAGCCTAATGTGTCTACAAACAGATAAGTCTTTAAACTTATTGAAAAATAGTTATTAGTATTTAGATATGAATGCTGCAGAGAAAATTGTTTAGGTGTCTTATTATAACGAGTTGCTAGAAATAATGTGTTTAGAAACTATTCACTAAATCAATATCGGTCTGTGATATGCCGAAATATTTGTCTGTCTGCACAAATGCATAATTACGTCTCCAGTGCTTTCGACGTAGTTTCTTTCAACATTGTTACATTTTTAAACAATGTGATCATTTATTCTTTTTAAGTTATTTTAATTAGTTTTAAAAGCATTACCTATCTAAATAAAAATGCTACATATGAAAGAATCAGGGAGATATAAACTTAGAACATACGAAGAAAACAAATAAGGAGCTTTAGTTCCACGTCAATGACACATTGCATTAAATAAAAGTCTTATCCAAACAATAGTATGCAAAGGTATCCGTAATTTAATTTCAGAAATGGTAATCTAAATTTTTCCCACAGCGATAATTTAATGCATGGAACAGCCAATAGAAGAATTTCCCAGAGGTAGGTATTTGTTTCCAAGCAATTCGACATTGGAGGAAAGAGTGCAATGACAAAATTCATCTTAAAATATTTTCCTTCTCGTGCTTTCTGTATTTTTATCATTTTTCTGAAACCTTTATCGTCATTGTAGCATAGTGTCTAGAATCCCTTGGGGAAAATGATGCATTCTGGGTATAGAAGACATCTTTTACTAGAGAAATAGGACCTTGTTTACTGGATATTAAAAGCAATGGCCGTGCATTGTTATCTTTTAGGACATTCTCCTTTAGCTTTCAGACGAATGACTTTCACCGTAAGAGAAAAAAAAAAGCGTTCTAAACCTTGAAAGCAGAACTTCTCATTCTGGAGCTTTTCTTAAGATTACGTGTACTTCCAAGAGAAAATCTGAAATATTTTTGTCGTAACTGGATTATTTTCAAATGAAACCTCTCTTCCGTTCACTTTGAAGAGCAAAAATTAAATTAGAAGTGCTAATAAATTTATCTCGCATCGAAATTTTCGTCTCATATCATATTTACGGTCAGATTGTGATGCCATTGTAATGTGCAGTATTAGTTCTTCTTGGGTAAATAGATAAGGAAAAATCTATACTGTTAAAATCAGTGCGACTGACGTCATCTCCCCGGAACGGCCGAGTGTTGAGTTTGGGGAAAGGTATCCCTGGGTTCTAAATATTCGTGGGAAGCCATTTCGACCATTATCACCTTCGTACGACTTAATTAGCAGCGATATAATTTAAAAATTTTAAAAACGATAATTTTTGCCTTAATTTTTCCGAGTTTCAATAGTCTCGCAAGTTAGAGATAAAAATCCGCTTTATTTTGAAAGGTGTTGCCACTGATCGCTTTCAAGTCGGAAATTCTTGATAAAAAATTTATGAGTTTTACAAAACATGAAATAAAAATAGCATTTCCAAACATTAAATATATTAACCCCGATTCCAAAAATTCGTGGAAAGCCATTTCGACCGTCGTCATTTTCGAACGGCTTTAGTCAGCAGAGATATTAATTAAAAACTCAGAAAACGCAAATTTGTGCACTCATTTTACCGAGTGGCAGCAGTCTCGTGCACTGGAGATAAAAATATGCTTTATTTCGAAAAGTGTTGCCACTGTTCGCTTTCAAATCATCGTAGAGTTTATTAGTAAAAAAAGTTTTGCGTTTTACCAAATATGAAATAAAATAAAAATCTGAAAGATTT